ACGAGGATGTAATTCAATTGTAGCCCCTCGAACACAATGGAAATACCTTCCCGGTTCCAATACGTATACTGGTATTTGGTGCTTATTAGAAGTACTTGCACGTTTTGTTTATGTTTGAGGGATGATTTGCATATTCACGCCACTTAGCGGTTCCTGATTGACAGATGATATGTAAATTAAATAAGAGTCAACAGTTTCATAACAGTACTATTTCCGGTGGTAGGGGTCACATGTTGTGATTTTGTGCACAGTTTACCGCGGTTTTGTACAACTAGTTGTAATATAAATAACCTAATACATTTTCCGATTTGGAGCAGTGTCTTCGATATTATGGATGAGAATGTAAATGCATTGTACCCTGGCTTCGAGGTCACTTTCGCACAACATATAATTTATAATTTATAATTTTTGTTCATGCATTGATTACGTCAATATGACGGGTACATTCAGAGTGCCGCTGAATGATACATCTCGGAACGCACTTTCAAGTGCGACTATTCTCATATTATCCGTACATTTATTGGCGATCCGCTCCGCTAGGATTGCCCTTATAATCACTTTTGTTGGCGATCCGCTCCGCTAGGATTGCCCTTATAATCACTTTTGTCGTTTTGTGTGTGTGTGTGTCTGTGTGTGTACATTTCCAGTGTTCCAGTGTTCACGTATTATTTCTTCTGTGATTTTTTTGGCTTGGCCGATTTCGTTCAAACCTGGCAGGTAGGTCACACCTTAACCCTAGTTATAAGGAAAAATCTGAAAAAATGTCTTGGCCCACCGTTGCCATAGCAACAGCCAAAAAACTGATTTTTGGATAGCTTCGCGCCAAATGTATCTCCTCCTACAAATTTGGGATAAAACACTTCAAACATAGCTCATTCTACTCAGCTTGAGTGTGGGCACAAAGTTACTATTTGAATTTTTGATATCTGTTTTCATTACCGAGAAATTTGACCCCAAAGTTGGGGTAACTTTTCACCAGCAACGGCTGGGCTGGTTTTGTTCATACTTCACAGGTAGGTCGTGCCGTCACTAATTGGAAAAAAATCCTGGCCCACCACTGCCATTGAAACATCCAAAAACTGAATTTTGAATACTTTCGCCCCAAATGTATTACCTCCTACCAGTTTTGTACACAGTCAGCTGGTAT